TCATAGATGGAACGTACCTAACATTTCCATATAATAGCCTAAACATTTCTTGTAAATATTTTACCATTTTTCAAAAGCTGATCTGGTTTTTAGTGTATTCTACAAATATTTCCCACTTATAGCCACATTAGGTAGTCCATGTTGATCTTCGTCAATGATAACGTAGTCAGCATGGTACTACCCATTGTCACCAGTACAAATTTCAGTAATTTTTTTATAGAGATACAATTTTGTTTACAATAGGTACTTAAGAACTGCCTGATTTTCTGCATAACCTCTCTGTCACAATTTTATTTGCCTCAATTGGCATTAATTTGGCTAGTTACTGTTACAACGTAAGTTATATTTATCTGAAAATATGCAGAATTGTAGGGCCTACTGTTGTTCAGATGGGTTTTTGTTTCCCTTGAATGTGAATAATGCGAATCCTTCAATGCAAGTTTTAATAAGGTTTCTTGGATGTAGTCATATTATTTTAAAATCACTTGACTTTTATGAAAACATATATAATGTCCTTGCCGTACCAGTTTAATTCAGCCTTAGAGGGGTTTCCTTTGCAAATCATCATAAAGTTAAGTCCGTGTTTCCTACAAAATAGTAGCACTTCCGATAACATCCTTGTTCATTGTTTGTGGGATAATCTTCATATTGTAGGTGTTCTTCTTTTATATAGGATGATAACGATAATATTTTTAAAAAATCTCGATTTCTGCTACTTGGTGGCGTTCTATGACTTTCCTATGTTTCCTTGGAAAGCAATTACGACCTTTAAGGGCAGTTTATGAAATAATGGATAGCTTTGCGCTAGTTTTCTCGTCATGACGAACATTTTAAGTATATGGTTTATGGGGGTATGACTTGTAGTTTTCACAAAAGTTCATGTGTACTTTGGGCTTTATATTGATAAACTAGTGGCTTGTAGGGACATAAGTCCCTAAAAAGCTCAAATGTAAAACAAACTATTGTAATATTTAAACAAACTCAGAATAAAATTATCTATGTGTCCGAATCGATACAGTGCTACAATACTACATGTACTCATATTAGTACCCAGGCCCAGTTATTATTTCTAATATTATAGCTCTACTCCTTTTGTAAAGGCACAACTGAATTAGTGTAAAGGCTGCCCTATAAGTTATAGTTGATAGTTATAGTTGATTATAGTTTCGTTTCTGATCAACATAAAATATAAACTACTCTCTGTGTCAGCTTATGTGGTGGTATTCCTCCTAAAGCTGTGGTTGATTTTATACACTCTTTAAAATAGGCCAATTTAAACGTTCAATGGGTTCATAGTTTGTTAAGACCATAGTAAAGTATTTATTTGCTAATCCGTTATAATTTTTAAGTTAATAACACAGCGCTGTCTGATGTTATGATGCAATGTACAGTTAGCCGACAGCTAAGCCATATCAGCTATAGTCATGTTAATAGTATATTATTTTTCATTCAATGGATGTAAATTTTGTTTGAAAACATTTTACCGTTTATATTATTTATTTGGCCTACAGTTAAAAAAGCGAATCATCGACTGATTACTTGCCATTGGTTAGGGTTCCATTATCATGTTAATGAAACCAATCAAGAAAACAAATTCATCAGCATTGATATAGGTACATATTTTTGGTTAGTGAAACATAAAGAATCGGAAACTACCTCCAGGGTTTACTGTTATAGATTCTATCTTTACTATCTATATAGATTGTATATATATACAATGCATGTTGGGCTATATTATTTTAACCTTTTTTCCTTGGAGCAACAGACAGTAGATACCTGGTTAAAATCTACTCCAAACAATTTTATTTTTCCGCCCATTAGAATTTGTTATAGTAATTAATGAAAGGAATATATGTATTGCCTGTACAAACCTATTTCAAATTTTATTCCCAGGTTATTCTCTAGAGTAACTGTTAAAGTTATTCCACTCGATAAAATCATAGATTAAACACAACAATTACGTGTCAAATTAAATGTTATGAAATTTAAAACAAAAGTTTTGAATAAATTTTCAACATATGTTTTGAAATAAAAACAAAACAGAAGTTTTCTAACTAATCTTGCATCGTTGATTATTTAGTCAATGGGGCTATTTCATGTTAAACATTCCTTCAGCCCAACAATAACCTACTAATGTGAAGAAATGTAATCAAAGTAAAATAATTTTGTAAACTTCGTGAACATATGTTTAAAGAAACCAAATCTTAAATGTTTCAGCCATTCTACTTCCATTTACTTTGATTTTAACCATCTCCCACGATTCTACTAAATTTCATGCGCTTGGCTAATCTACATACAAATACACAAATTTGCAAATTGCACAGTAAAATTAATTTCAACATTCTAAGACATAACGACAAAAGTCTCAATTGTAGGTAACGTCATCCCTGGTTTTATATAGTATACAGTACATTGCAGAATTTACTGGCAAATGAGTTAAATCCAAATGTAATATTGCTTACTGGCTTAGATGAATCACGATCAGCTGTATTGAGGTAAACAAAAATCAACAGACAAATGGCTTCTAATGCTATTCTTATGGAGAACATTTTACGTTATATTATTGACTAAGTCAAAGGTTTTATCAAATTTTGTGTTAAAATTTGGGGAATTTCACTATTTTTCCGGGATCGAGACCTTTAATTTGAACCCTCTCCCGTCGTTCTACGACTACCCAGTCGCCCACAATTTTGACGCAAAGAATCGGCTTTCGTAATTAATATATAGATAGATATTTAATTTCCACAAAATCAGTTAATGTAACCAATGCGTTTCGTTGGATTGAAAAACAAAGAACACAATTAAATTAAACAGCTGATGTAAACAATATTATGTTCTTCGAAAGGATAACATGGGAACTTAAAAAGCCACTGTGGCAGAGGCCAAGGGACTTTTTCAAAAAATTTAGGCCAGTTTGCAAATCTACGCAACACGCTCTTTCCAATGAGACGTCAGTGGATAAAATCGGTTAAGAAATGGTGGAGGATTCAACCGACAAACTTCGTGTTCGCGTATTAATTATATAGATTTCATATGTGCATGAAATGTTGGTGTGAAACCAACTTGTATAACTTTAAGCTAAATGGTTTAAGTTACCTGGCTTCGTCAAGTGATCCTTCTTCAGTATTACACTACTATAGTTTCGGACTTGAAAATAAGTCCATCTTCAGAAAACGTCAATAGGTCATCTAACCAAATTGGTTAGATGACCTATTGACGTTTTTGTTAACCTGAAGATGGACTTCCAGAGGCTACCTCACCATGTATACCTTTGAAGTAGAGGCTATATTTATTCCCAAAAGGTATCAAACGCCAGCTCCTGATCAAATCTTTTCTATCACTTTAAAGTTTGTTTCGTGTTTTTAGTCTTCACGTACAGAGACTTAAATCTTTGTATTAAATTGTTAGCAATCATAAATCGTGGACAGAATCTTCCACAAAAGATAAATACAATATAGTTCAACACCCTAGAACTCCTTAAAAAAAAATATGTTTTGTTAAGGCTTCGTCATAATGTTAAAAATACTCAATACAACAAATTCATTAATTTTACATATGTAAACGTTGATAGTTGTGTGCGTATTGTATTTTAATATATCTTCTGTATACATCTAGTCCTCTATATTTTCTGTGTACACAAATGCTTCTGTATACACTTTTTTTGCAACTCACAGTAACTGAGAAATATTCTAAACTGGTGAACTGTTTTTATAAATTTTTGCCATTATTTCTCAACCCGTGCTTAAAAAATTAGTGACTCGTGGATAAATCCAGATACAAAATTTAATCTAAATCGGACCACAGGTTTTGTATGTAGCTCTGTATCTGGATCATACAAGTGTGTATTATATAACCTGATATTAGTCAAAATATGTTTTATTCTATAACGTTTAATTTAATTAAACATAAAAGTCATGCTCCCTCCATTTTTAAAGTATTCAGTCCAAAAATGTAATAAATTTACTTGTGCATACATATTTATTTCGTTTTAATAAATAATTGAGGTGATGCAATACACTTATGTAGGCAGTCGCAGCAGTCGAATCCGGGCATAGCGCCTAAAGTTTCACGAACGCAAACCGCGCAACGAGTAGCTAAATGAGCCGTAGAGTAAGTGAGCCATCTAATATTTTGAAGAGGGTTCACTTACTCTACGGATCATAGTGCCAATGAACTGTAGAGTAAGTGAGCCATCTAATATTTTTCTGCAGGCTCGTATAGTATACGAGCCTATTCCTATAATTTATATTATTCATTATTTTGGCTCGTATACTATACGAGCCGATTCCTAAATTATCAAATAATTCGTAAGCTTGGCTCATAGTCACTATGATCTGTAGAGTAAGCGAACCTTCCTACTGTATTTTTAAATATAATACACGAGGCTCATAGGCACAATGATTCGTAGAGTAAGTGAACCCTCTTCATTTATTTTTTATTTTCGATAGGCTCGTATAGTATACGAGCCTGTAGTGCAAGTGAACCTTCAATATTATTTAAAAAGCTCGTATAGTCTATGATCTGTAGAGTAAGTGAGCTGTCCCCATAATATCGTAGATGAAATGGGTGGTAACATTGACTATATAACACTACATGCACGGCCGCCTTTAACTACTTAGGCTTAGGAAAAAGATTATGCACTTTTTTATGTTGGAGTTTTTTATGGAGTTTTAATTGATCGCGTTATGTTAAGCCATAGCTACGTATAATGTACAGTACGGTCTCAAATATGCCTTTTAAAATACGCCAATTAATTAGTTTTAACGTGTATACACGTTTTATCAAGGTATAATAGACATTATATAAATGTAAAAACATCATTTCGCACCGTATTGTCATTGAATTGCGTTTCCGACATCCCTGCAAAACACGTTTGTGGCGCCCGCAGGCGTACCAACCCATATCTATTACAATCCGAAAAAGCGCCGATGAAAAGAGCTGCTAACGGCGCTAACTTCACGACTGTCTAGCTAGCACTGCACTTGCACTAGCAGAAGCACTAAGCAGAAGCGTCATAACCTCAGTACTGTCTACTCATTTTAATCTATGGTAGTGGTAGTAATACCGTAATACGTAATTCATTTCGTTTGTATTGTAATTGTAAGTTCCTCCTAGGTAGGCTATAATAACTTAGCTAGCACTGTCTATCGCTATTCTAATATAACTTCAAATATTTATGTCTAACATAGGATTTATCTGTTTCTGTTAGTGTTCATAAATCTGGTTATACTTAGCAAGAAAACAATATGTCCTTATCTACCGTAACATCCAAGTTCCATATCAACTTGGTAAGTAGATCGTATAACTGTTTCATGAATTTTTATTTCAAATATTGTACTTCGGAATCATCAAAATTTCACAAGGATGAGAGCAAAAATGAGACTCATTTTGGATTTCAAACAGTACCGGAGAGTGAGAAAGTGAAAAAAGTATATGAAGTATTTGAAAATGTTGCAGACAAATATGATCTAATGAATGATGTTATGAGTTTTTGTACCCACCGAATATGGAAGGACATTTTCATTCAACGATTGGGACCAACACCTGGAACACATTTACTAGATGTTGCTGGGGGCACTGGTGACATTGCTTTCAGGTATTTAAAATATTTAAGGAATATTCCTAAGTCGAACAAAACCTCTATATCATACGAAAAAAGTTCAGTTACCATCTGTGATATTAATAAAGCAATGCTGAATGTAGGCAAAGAAAGAGGAGATAAATTAGGTTTCAGAGATCCAGAAATAAAATGGATAGAGGGAGATGCAGAGAATCTTCCTGTTGACAACAATGTTTTCACTGCATATACAATAGCTTTTGGTATCAGAAACTGCACTCATGTAGACAAAGTATTAGATGAAGCCTATCGAGTTCTTAAACCTGGGGGACGGTTTATGTGCTTAGAGTTTAGTCATGTCAACAATGAAGCTCTCCAGTGGTTGTATGATCAGTATTCTTTCCAAATCATACCAGTTTTGGGGCAGATAGTTGCTGGGGACTGGAAGTCATATCAGTACTTGGTTGAGAGCATCAGAAAATTTCCTAATCAAGAAGAGTTTAAAGAAATGATCCAGGCGTCTGGATTTAGCTCTGTGTCGTATGAAAATTTGACTGGTGGTGTTGTATCTATCCACTCTGGCTTTAAGTTGTAAACAGTCATGATTGTTGACTAAGATTACCAAACCACTGTTGACTGTACAGTCAAACACACCTAAGAAGGCACTTCGCAGAGGGGTGAAAACGTTGTACCGTACTATCCTCGAATTAAACTTTAGGCCTTATACTCGACCACTCACCTGGTACGGTACTAATGGACTTAGTGGTGTCTTGCAAGAAACCTATTCAATAACATCTAGGTAGTTCATTGCTAATATTACACATTGTGTTTAGTAGCCTACTATTTTCCTTGACTTTTCTAAATTTTTAAATATATATTTACATAAAATACAAGCATTGTTAAAAATAGAATTGTTTGCGTGCAACAGCTACTAACTGTCAGGGGTGTGATAAGGGCTGGTAGCTGGCAATTCGGTGGCAAAACCAATACTTTTGGGACGGCATTATTTCCCCCCATAACTGACCCCTTACTCTATCCTCTATCCTTTCCTATAGCACCGGGCACAGGTGCCTTCTTAGGTGTGTTTGCCTGTACAGTACCTAACTTATGTTGATGTAGCCTAAATAATTTTTTTGAATAATAATTCAGATGACAATGTTTTTCTGTTTTATTTCTATAACCTCTTGATTAATAATGACTGCGGGATTATTTATTCTTTCCTGACTTATTAACTTAAACCTTTAGGCCTGAACTTAACAGTACAACTTGGATGTGCCATCACCACAGTCTAATTTCAGCAATAATAAAGGCGCTACTTTTTCAAATACAACCAAGGTAACCTTTAGGCATAATATATTTTGATTGGCTGGTTTGGATGAAATAAACTTGATAGTAAAGAATGTAAATATTTCTCTATTTTATCATCCACATAACTTACTAAATTTAAATGTAGGAAATAAGTTAGAGGACTTAAGTAGGCTACCTAGGTTATTTTTATAAAATAAGTGAATTTCCCGTCTATAGAGAGAATAAGCTGAAATGAAATGATGAATGAAATGAAATAATATTTTATTTTGCAACTGCTTAATACAATGTGTGGTATTTACATAATTATTATACAAACCTTAACTTAAAAAAAAATAATCATAAAAGTATACTACTGTATATCTAAATGGCACAAAGATAGAAAAAAAATACCTTATCAAATTATGAGGAAAAGGTCTACATAGGCAGGGGCCTGTGCGTAGACATGAGTTGCGGGTAATTTGTATAATGGGAAATTTAATCTTGAGTGTAAATGTTAGCACGTCTTGCTGGATAAAAATTTTTGTCTTGCTTGGAACTGGACTACGATATTTTTCTGAACTAGGAGAATCATGATTTCTCGTTGCCATAGGTCTCAGGTAGGACCTTGACTGGGGACCGATACTTTTTTGTTTTTAAGGTTCCCAGAGGCCAAAAACACCATCTGTTTGGATTCATGTATAAAATATGTACGGTATGATGAATGTGTCCGTTAGCACGATAACTATAAGTCAAAATGATCCGATTTTGATTAAAGTTGGTACAAACATGTAAACTAAATTAAAAATAGAAAGACTCAATATTAATACAGCCTTAGCTGGTTTTGGCCGAAAAAAAGACCAGGGGTGGAGGGGTTGTCGTCCTAACTAAGCCATTCCTAAATTGTAGAACTATCATGCCACCTGAAATACAAAATCTTATCTCCAAACAAATTTTTGAATGTTGTTTAATTGAAGTACAAAAGGCTGTAACTTATCAAAGGACTAATTACTTTTAATTGGTTGTTGAGTGAATATTTTTTAGCGTTCATTTTGATGTCACTGGCATTTTACTTTGTAAATAATGGTTAGATAAGATATAATTGTATATTTTGAGATGTTTTATGGAGTGGGGGAAATATATTAGGCCTACAAGCAATAATAAGCTATAGTTCTAATTACAGTAGGTTTTATACATTTTTACGGTATTTTTAAAGTCGCACATCTCACAACCATCCCTTGTCACGTGGACCCATACTTCACATTTTACACTACTTTGAGACCAATTTATCACGTTTTAAATAACTTTTGGTTGATTATATGTCTTGGTGTATTAATAACCTAACAAAATAAAAACATTTAAGTCATTTTTATACCTTATGAACGAAATACCTATTTACTGCTGTAAAATAAATCTATCACTAAGATCTATGTCCCTGACCGTCGAGGCTAAATTTAAAACTTTGGCCCACTACAGGGGCGCTCCAGTGAGTTATTGTGGTCTCAACTGTACACGTGTCTGTGAATTTGTGCTGTTGTTTTCAGCTGTTTTAAAATTACCTGAACCTCATTAAAGGTAAGTTTGTATGTAGCCTATATGGTAATTTTGATGTGTCCAAGGTACGCCAGCTTGATGTGTCCTAATGCTCCTTGTAATGCTTGATGTTTAGTTTGATGTGTCCGTTGTCATTTAGCTGTGTGGACAAGTGGTTAATTTTTATCTACGTGATGTTTTATTCGTTAACCAAACCTATTAGCAGACTTAATATTCTCGAACACGAAATACAGTGCTACCACCTGAACAGAGCCAAATATCCCAAGACCGTCCCGATTTTCGTCACAGCCGTCATAGCCTTTTCAATGTTATTGGGGGACGGTCGTGATTTTAATAACTACTTGTTTACATAGTTTCATGTACAATTTGTACTGATAAATTTCAACTGTTTTGATTTCATATTAGCAATTATATTATATGCATATGATATGTAATTTTAAAAATTTCAGGAAAAGTCCCATTTATGGTTTAAGAGATGCATTTCACTTGTAGGATAGAGAAGAGTAAGAGGCCGAATTTAAAAGAAAATGATTAAAAATGAAAGAAGAGGGACTAAAAAGGACTGCTGAGCGGGAAAAAGAAAGGAATATTGATGATCCCCTATAATTATGTCCAGACCGTCTCCCCTTGTCCCTGACCGTCACTTATATTATGTAGCTCATAAACATTTTTAAAATATACGTAGCACCACAGAAAAATTCCTGCAAATACTAAAGGAGTGCCTCTATGAATGAAAAATTGTTTTATATTATTTTAAGAAAGTTTGTGCCGACAAAAACAAACTATAAGTAATTTACTTAAATTTTTTCAAAAATTTCATGTTTATTTTTTGCAGGAATACCTACTTTTATTCAAGCTACATGACATACTAAACACAATTATGCCTTTAAACTAAGTTCATTTATAGCAAAACATAGTGATGAAATCTTAATAGGCTACTGTACCTCTATTAATAATGCCTTTTAGTTTTAACATTGGGGACGGTCAATGACATAAATTGGGGGTCAGGGGGGTCGTGACCCCCCCCCAAAAAAATATTTGTTATATAGATAAACTATTATACCAGGGGAACTTTAATAATTTTTATTGCGAATCGTTCTATGTACCAAATTGAAATTCATTGTAAAAAATTACACTTGTGGCGAACGAAAGGACTAATTACAAACTCTAACCTAAAACTCGGGATCGTTCGAGTCCGACTATTTTTTGCAAGCTATGAAAAGTAGGGAAGATCGGCAGACGACGGATGCTTTTTCAGCCATATACAGCAACGGCAGTGTCCGATGCTGACGTTCGACGTTCGGCCACATTCTTCTTCTCTTTTAATTTTTTGGGCATTTAATGTTATCTTTCATTTTAACCCAGATGATTGAAAACTTGAATTGGGTATTGGGCAAAGAAAATAATTTGTATCGATAGTCAAAGCTTAAGAGGTAGTTGAATATTAATTTATCTGAGTTCAGCTTTTGGAATTTGTTATCACAGTAATGTAATTCAATGATTACCGTAGCAAATTTAAAAACTTTCAATATTAAATAGTATTTATATTTAGAGCACCTGATAATACCACAACCCAATTGGCATGTTGTTAGCCACAAAACAACAACAAAATGGTAGTGTCTCAGACTTAGATGGGGAAGGGACGGATTTAATTCCCGGCACAACCACAAAAACGTTGCCCAAAAACTTTATTCTCACGTTAACCCCTTGTAAAATGCCACTGGCACTGGCGTAGAAAGAATGAGAACACTGAGAACCAATTCTTCAGGCGGTAGCAGTGACGCGACGCTGACGGCAACGTTAGTTGGGTTGTGTACTTTGTGTAGGTTAACTGTTGCTTACTGGGCAAGTTTAATGCAGTCGTGTTGTGTGCAAGTTCTTAAACACTTCTTAGATAAAATTAGTTCTCTCTGGTTCGAAATCTTGGTCTGATTTTGGACATTTTCTGTTTAGCATGCACATTGGCATCAGTTGAAAGGGTGTTTTCGTAAATCAATAATGCTTGAATGTGTTGTAATGTTGCGGTATTCCTTATATATTAAAACCAGAAGTCTCAATAATACAAAAACATGACATTATACAAGTTTATTTTTGGACATTTCTTTGACCTTTAAATAAACTGGGAAGCTTGAACACATTAAACTAGGTACTCAAAATAGCTTAAAAACCACTCATTTCAGCATGTTATTTCCAAATGTTTCCCGGGGGGAACCCCTCCTTTGCTGATGTCAGGCCCCCCGGTGACCCCCCCCCCCAAATATATGTCTAGGACCGCCCTTGCCCAGTTGTCTGACCATGGTGGTCAGATGCTAGAAATTGTCAATACTGTGCCAAAACATTTTTCCCATTTTTCACATTTTGACCAGAGTTTAAAAACCTACTTCAATGTGAGTCATGGACAGATCCATAGTGGAAGGAAAAAAACTTAGGTGTGCTATTCCGTCATATGCCGACTCACCCAGATTGCAAACAAATAAACACCTGATTGTATTGCTATTAGGGAAGTATATTGGTTTTGATTTGATTGTTATTATTTTTATAAATTTTTCTAAATGGTGAAATGGTGTTTGTAATTTGGGTGAAGTCAGCATATGACGGGAATAGCACACCTATTTTTTTTCCTACCACCATGGGTGCCTCTCCAGTGGAAAATGTATATAATAAACTAGCTGTGTGCCCGTTCTACGTACGGTAACATTGTAGTAAGTTGAGACCTTCTTATATTCAGAACAGGAGTTGGTTTGCATATTTAGTATGCATTTTTTCAGATATGCTGGCAAAACTATTACTGTGTAGAAATACATATATACCTTCGCAAATACAATATCTGACAGTTTCAAGCCAAAACAAATGCTTCACAATTAAATGTCACTCGACCGTGTTGGTCCACATTTTATATCTAATGATTTAAAATTAATTGCTTTATAGATCTATGAGACATAGCCCTAATAGAACAGGCCCATAATTATAAAATCCCTCTTTATAAAGTGCAAGAAGCATTTCATGTAACAATTGGGGAAACAATGTTTTTAGGGTATTTTGACCCTGCCTACGAATCTGCCTGTTAGCCAACGCGAAATTTGAACCGGAAGTACGGTATCCAAGATGGCGGCCAAAACTCTGTTTGCCCCATATCTCCCTTGTTAGTTGGCCTAAAATAATGGCTTATAATAAAGGTGATATAGGAGCTTTTCAGATGCCAAACACATTACAACACTCAAAATTTACTTAAATTAAGTTTTGAGGGCATATCTTCCAAAATGGCGCCCAAGATGGCCGCCAAAAACTCTAATTTCTGCATATCTCCCTTGTTTCTTGGCTT